TGGGATCAACATAAATCACACCAGCCATATTCGGAAGAAAAAAAGAACTCAATTTCTATATCCAATGACTTTTCTGGTATAACTACATAACTTCATGTTTGATCCCGACCCTTTCCATTTTGTACGGTCCATATTTACTGGCGGTTCATGTGCTCAATGCGGATCTCAACAGCTCTGCGGTGAGCCTCCAAGGCCTCGGTCTTGGCTAGTTGCATAACAGCATCGCCGACGTTGCGCAGACCCTCGGCCGTCAGATTGGAGCTGGTAATGTGCTTGACGAAGGAGGCAAGGTTGACGCCAGAGTACTGCTTGGCGTATCCGTATGTGGCTGCGCTATGGTCAGAAAACATCACAGAGTATATAGGAAGTAGATAGACTTACGCAGAGAGTGGTTGACACCGGCAGAGTAGTCGCCCACACTCTCAGGCGTCCACTCGCCGATGAAGACACTGCCGGCGTTCATGACCTGCTCGGTCACCTTCTCAGCGTCCTTCAGTTGGAGAATCAAGTGCTCGGGAGCGTAGTCGTTGCTGATGCGCATGGCCTCGTCCACCGTCTTGACCTGGATCGTAACGGAGTGGGCGATGGATCCGCGGACAATGTCGACACGGGGCAGAGCCATGGCCTGGTTGTGAAGCTCGTCCTCAATGGCCTGCAACTGCTCCTCATTCAGGTCAATGGCGATGAGCACGACTTGGCTGTCAACACCGTGCTCTGCCTGGGAGAGCAGATCGGACGCAACAAAGGCGGGGTTGGCATCCTTGTCAGCGATAACAAGAACCTCAGAGGGGCCAGCGGGCATGTCAATGCTCACACCTGCATTGGTGTCGTTGCTGACGAACATCTTGGCAGCAGTGACAAACTGGTTTCCGGGTCCGAGAATCTTGTCGACCTTGGTGCAGCTCTCGGTGCCATAGGCCATGGCAGCAACGGCCTGGGCACCGCCAGCAAGGACGATGCTCTCAGCACCGACCTTGTGGGCGACGTAGACGATCTCGGGGGTGAGGCTACCGTCGGCGCGCGGCGGAGAGGCGAAGACGATCTTCTGGCAGCCGGCAACCATGGCGGGAACACCCAGCATCAGCGCGGTACTGGGCAGGACGGCAGTGCCACCAGGAACGTACAGACCGACTCTCTCAATTGGTCTTGAGAAGCGGCTGCAAACAACGCCAGGCATCGTCTCGACCTTCAGGGGCTTGTCCTCCTTCTGGGCGGCGTGGAACTTGCGGATGTTTTCAAAAGAAATGTCGATGGCCTTGATAGACTCAGGGGACAGCTGCATAGCCTCCTTGGGGAAAGGAGCCTTAAGAACGGGTGAGGTCAGAGACGTAGCCTTCTCGAACCTGTGGGTGTAAGACAAGACTGCCTTGTCACCTCCCTTGCGGACCTCGTCGATGATGGGCCTGACGATGTTCAGGATGGCGTCAGGAGACTTCTGCGATGGGCGCTTCAAGACCTCATCAATCTCAGAGGCTGAAGACTTGGAGAGGTCGTATCTGCGCATGGTTATCCTCTCCTCTGACTTCTCCTTGGCAGCAGGTGTCGGGGCTGGTGCTGGTGCTGCGGCGGGAGCAGGAGTAGTCTGGATGCCCTCCTTCTCCGCCCACTTGCCCTTGGCGTTACCCGTCCTCCTCTTGACCTTGAATGCCTTGGCGTCGAGATTCCTCTCAATGTCAGCCAAGCTAACGCCGGCGCTGACAGCCTTGGTGAGGGCAAAGTAGATCAGGTCCGCGGCCTCGAAGGCTACTTCCTCCTTGGTCTTGGCATCGCAGAGCTCCTCTGCTTCTTCCATGATCTTGGCGCGCAGGAGCTTCTCATCCGAGAAGAGACGAGCGGTGTAAGATCCCGCAGGAGCAGACTGCTTGCGAGACTGAAGAGTCTGCTCAAGACGGGGGATGCCGCTGAGGTCGCCAAAGCAGCCGTGCTGGTCCAGGTGGCAGAAACGGCCGGTTTGCTTAACAACAAACTTGAGGGTATCGTTGTCGCAGTCGAGGCCAATGCGGACCAGCTCCTGAGTATCCCCAGACGTAGCGCCCTTCACCCAGAGACCACGCTTGCGGCTCTGGTAGATGCCGGTTCGTGTGCGAACGGCCTCGCCAACGCTCTCGGCGCTGCTGTAAGCAAGTCCCAGGGCGGTGCCCGATTCATCGCACACAACGGTTGGGATCAGACCATCAGGCCTATCCGACTTCCAGAATGAAGAAATCAGCTTGGAGAGAGAAAGCTTCTTCGTGTCCTCCTTGGCAGCAGTCAGGCCGTCTGAAGGCAAAATGGGGATGGCGTTGCACTGCTTGGCAATGTCGACAAAGTGCTCCAGGGTAGTCTCCGGAACCGGCTTAAGGAAAAGGTTGGGCAGCTTTTCCACTTTGCAGCGCTCAATGAAGGCGCCGAGGTCGCACACTGTCGAATCAAAGTCCTTGACGAGGACGGCGTGCTTGGAGGCGGCCGACGTAGAGACGTCGGCGGTCTTGAGGACGGAGCCCACCCGGGATCCGAATTCCTCATACTGAGAGAGGTTCTCTGGGGCGACGAAGACCATGCGGGCTCCGGCGTCGAGGAGAGAGACAACGTCGTCTCTTGAGGAGATGCCGGTAACGTCAAAGTAACCGCGGAACTCCGCATTGTGCTGCTTCAGGAAGCGGTGGAACTTTTCCAGGGTCTGGTCATTGGCCTCGAAGAAGGGGGCTCCGAGCACCGAGACCTGCTCACGGTCGAGGCCGTCCAGGTTTGCCAGACCGGGCGGGACGGCCACGCTGATAAGGAAAGGAAAAGGCAGTGTCGTCTCCATGGCGGGCAGCTGCTTTCTGATCTGGTGAGGGGTTTCTCACATGCAGGGAAGCAAACGGATAAGGAAGTTCAAGGACACGGGAAGTGTGGTTGAAGAGTAGCCCGAGTCAATGGATTGGGAAAGTGGAATGTCACTCTATAAGATCCTCTCGTTGGTGACTCAATTCAGGGAAGGCCCGCCGCTAAAAGTAAAAATCCTCAGAGTGTGACACCACCACTCCAGCGTCGGGGTGGTCCTGCATCGGCGTGGGCGGGTGTTATGGTGGGGCAGCAATGCAAATTGCCCCTCCATGCATGGAAGTCTGCCCTGTGTAGAAGGTCATCCAATCCACGCCCAGCCGATTTGCCCGTTGAGACCCCCTGTCCAATGTGGGATTAAGCTATGGTCAGTGCGTCTGAGAAAAGAAGACACGGAGCGGATCAATCCTCGCGCCGCCGACGACCCCGGGCAGCACTTGACGAGAGCTGTACCGTACTCCATAGCGCGGAAACGGCTAACGAACGCGCTGAGCTGAGCCTTGTGGGCAGCTCTTTCCACGAGCGACCCAACCGCGACTACCTTATCGACCCTGACGACTATCCATTCACCTTGACATATACTAATTCAGACGAGGCCATCCAATCGCAACTTTATTCCCATTTCATATCGCCCTACTTTACTACGAATCCGATTTTCACATTCATTAGAACGGAAGGACCTCAACGCGTCGACGTCCACATCCATCAAACCCCGGCCCATCGCAAGAGGCGACACCATCACATCGTCCCTCTCTGCCGCCGTCGCTGCCAGGCAGCATCGCCAGCATGGCTTCACAATCATCCGACCCGCAAACGAACGGCGTGCCAGCCTCCTCAGGCGCCTCCGGCTCACAAACCGTGAACAACACCCAAGCGACCGCAGCGACGACAGGCTCGCAGCCGCCCTCCCAGTCCCAACCGACCCAATCCACCACACAAGCGCAATCGCAACAACCAAGCAACCAAAACGCACAGCAGCAGCAGCAGCAACACCAGCAGCAGTCATCTTCATCAAACCCCCTCGGGAGCAACGCATCGGCCCCGCGCCCGCGCGATTCGCGCATGATCGAGCTCCTCCTCACCTCCCAGGGCGTCACCTCGTACGAGGCCCGCGTGCCCCTCCTCCTCCTCGACTTCGCCTACCGCCACACCTCGAGCATCCTCGGCGACGCAATCTACCTCTCCGGGGACCCCTACGTCGCCCAGGCCGGCTCCAAGCCAACGGCCGGTGCCGCGGCGGCCGCCGCCGGCACGGGTGACGCTGCCGTGACCGCCAACGCAGTCAAGCTCGCCATCTCGGCGCGCTTGGGATACCAATTCCGCGGGGGCGGCGGCGCGGGAGGCGTGTCCAAGGACTGGCTGCAGGAGCTCGCCCGCGAGCGGAACAAGGTCCAGCTGCCCAAGGTCGCGCAGAACGAGTGGGGCCTGAGGCTGCCGAGCGAGCGCTTCGTGCTCAGCGGCGTCAGCTGGGGCCTGAAAGACGTCTGGGAGGAGGCCGGCATCGAGGACGACGAAGAGGAAGAGGAAGATGCTGGTGCAGGCGGTGCCATGGAGGGCGTGGAGACGACGAACAACCAGAACGACGCTGCGGATGAGGATATTGGCGGAGACGGCGTCGAGGGAGGCACGATGGAGGATGTGTTTGGCAAGGACGTGAACGAAGATGCGGACATGGGAGGGACGTCTTAGAAAGGGTACCGATCACAACACACATCTCGCACATGATCGCGCCGTTAGTCCGAACTTTGGCATGAGTAGACACTCCAGGCACAGTGGCTTTTGCATCACGCAACCCACTGCCAGTCAATGGAAACTAGCTGATGGGGATGCACCTGCGCGTCCAGGCTTGGGGAGAGGAGAGGTGCCGTGGAGCTTTGGGCAAACACGGCTATTACTTAGCATTTGGAATGCAACACCCAGAGGAGTCGGCGCCTGCGTCGGCATCAGATTAAGATAGGAATCAAAATATAGCAGAGCATCCACAATTCCACACATTTGGTCCAGAGCTTGTGATCGCTGAGGTGGGAAAAGGTAGTGTCAATTCAGGAAACACTACAGTAAAAGCACCAATTCAAACGCCTTCCGCTATGCAAAGTAATGCCCGTCCGCGAATCCATCCAACCAACCATGCTGTTGTTCCCCAAACCGCTCTTCTAAAAGCCCCCGGTAATAGTACAGAAGTTCGAATCGCAATATTAGTTCGCACCTGTAGAAGTAACATTAGGGTTATACACCGCGGCCTGTTCCTCCTTTTTAGCACACTATTTCTGCACACCTTTTTCAAGGGTGAGATGATTTACCCCTGTGATCAACTCAGCGCCGACGTCTTCCATAAGCACCTTTTGGGTGGGTGGAGAAGACTGATTTTCCTTGCCGCTGGGCTGAGGTGTTCGCTCGCGCTGCGCTCGCACGCTATCGAGGTCCGCTTCGTCAACGTCATCGTCCTCTTCATCTTCGTCTTCGGCGTCTTCGTCGTCAGCGTACTCGTCCTCCATCATGGAGGCCGTCATCCGCTCGTCGCCGTCGACGCTTCCGCTGAGGATGCTCTCTCGCTCGTCACCGTATTCATCAATGGAACCTCTCGAGATGTAGCTTTGGCCCATCTCGTCACCGATGTCTTCGTCATCGTCGTCGGCGTCTTCTTCTAGGTCGGCCTGCTCATCATCAGAGTCGCTTGCTGAGAATTCATCCAACTCCAGTGGAGTATCCCTCCAGTACTTGAAATCTGTGTACTCTTCTCCACCACCCTTAACGAGAGTGCTAACAGGTGGGAAGAAGTGGTCGACAACCTCGTTGATGTTGATGTAGCTCAACTTGAGCTTGTTCAAGCTCAGCAGATCAAGAGAAACCTCGGCATTGGAGTTGATCGTGAAGATGCGGTTCCTCGGAACATCTACTGTTCTGTACGAAATTTGGTCCGTCAAACGGTTTCCAAATCCAGCGTAGAATGGCGTCTGTTCCCGACCGTACAAGTGACGAATGTCACGAAGGGTAGCCATCTTGAATACCTCGGGCTTCCGGAGGTACACCTCACGACGGAGTGCGGCCATAGTCCGGTCCGGGGACAAAATTGTTGGCCCGCGCGGAACCCGGTATTCTCCCTGCTGAATGCCAGCCAAGTATGCTCTGGTGGTATCGGACTGTCCCACTGATCGACTAGTTAGGTACATGATGTTGTAACCGTTTGCGACAATGTCGCTGTAGAGTTTGGCAACACCAGCGTGCGTCCAGTCCCTGCCAATCATGTTCAAAACATGACCCAGCGCATCCGACTTGGTGATGGTGCCGTCGATATCCGAGATGACAACAGGCACCTCATGTCTCCACAGGTACATGTTGGCGTTACACGTCGCTCTGTTGACTGTGAAGCTCATACTGTTCTCACCGGGCTTCAAGCACAACGCCTTCAGCTGATCGCTAGTCAACCGCAGCGTCTTGGCGTAGTTCAGGTTTGGGTCTCCGGCTGACGATTGAGGCGGAGTGGTCGGAGGAGTCTGCATGCCAGAGGCGCCGACATCCGATTCAGTTCTCCTGTGGATCGGAGTAGGCGCTGTAGTCGTCACATCGCTACCGTCGCTCTGGTATCCCGGGTCGGACGCAGCATCAGCTGCGATGGCCGTTGGCCGGTAGCCTGCCTCCATAGTCTTCTTCTTGGCTGCCTCTTTCGCCTCCTCGCTGCTGTAGATCCAGATGTTTCCATGTTCGTCCATACCAAAAAGGGAACCAATATCGTAGTTGCCTTCAAGCTCTTCAGACAAGATCTTGCGTGCAAGGATCTCAGCACGGAAAATATCCTCCTCGTTGCTCTTGAAACCGGTCATGTCAAGCATGAGGTCGCCCGTTTCAGTCACGCGAGTAGGAATGTTGTTGGCGGAAAGCTCCTTGGAGAGCATGCGCGCCCGCTCGACAGCATCCTTCGCTGCCAGAGGTGGAGGACTCTGCGATCTCTCGGACATGGCAAAATCGGCAGAGCTTTCGCCGTACTCACGGTCACTGGTACGAGCCGACTTGCGCAACACATCGTCGCTATAGGGACGGAGGTTCCAGTCGTCTGATCTCGGTCGTCCGTGGGTGAGGTCTGGTGATGTGGATAACGGGGTAAGAATGCCTGGAACTATTAGCTTCTGAATGTGCGTCTGGGGTCACCAGAGGACGGGCAAGAGACCAACCGTGGTCCCGAGGGAGAGTTGCGCTGTGGATGACTGAAGGAGGAGGACGCTTAGGTCTCCTCTCTTCGGAGTCCAGGTCCAACAGATCCGGTTCGCCCAGTTCGGAGGACGAGGGGTTCTCAGGGTTCAGGGGAGGGCTCGATGCTGGGGATACCAAAGGCGAGGTTTGTAGATCCCTGGGGATGTTGTCGCTGGTTTCGAAGACGAAGAAAGCCTCTCCTTCCTCTCCAAGTTTCATGGAGTAGTTCTGCTTGACGCCGTTGACCTTGAACTCGACCTTCTTCTCGTAGGGCCGAAGGAGGGAGAACTTTCCAAAGCGGACGTGGAAAGGAGAGCAAGCCAGGGTGCCGTCTTCTTGCTCAACGACAATCACGTCGATGGCGCCACTCAGAGTGGCCGGGTTGATGGAGTTCCATGTCGAGGAGACGGAGGCGCTGAGGTTGCGAACGTACTGCATGGTGACTATGGAGCTACGCCCTTGCAACTGGGATGAGTCTTGGATACGGCGCGGGTGTGCGATCGCAGAGCCAGGAAGGCAGACGTTGTAAAAGATACGATGCGATGTGCAACAGCCTCCTGGTCTCTTGTATCGTGGGTTCCGCTCAGCTGTAGAGACCAGACAGTAGGCGGGAGGGTTCGGGGTTGAAGTGGTGTAAAGATGACGAAGGTGTAAGGAAAGCGACGAACGAATGGGGCGGAATATTGGCACAGGTAAGGTCGGTTGATGGACGATACGAGCGGGAAGCAGGAGGACCTGGCGGGCAGCGGACAGGGGGGAAGCAGCAGTGCACCCCTGCTTGTTGGACCAGCCCAACAAGCTAAGACGCCCTTGAATGCTCTCTGGGGCTCTTTGGCTCACTGCAAAACGGCGGCAGAGAGGTACCAGAGTACCCGTGGCTAGGCGGTTTTGGTACAAGCGCGACAGGGCCAGCTCGCCCACGTTTGCTGGTAAAGAGTACCTAGCAAACGGACAAGGTACATAAAATTTGCCGCGGATCATGTGAAGGTGGACATTGGGGAGAACGCCATGAGCGGCGCATCCCCCCAATGGCAGCCCCTGGCCCGGGCCATGCGTCGCTGTGCGCTCACTGTACTGGCCGCCTTAAGCCGCAGATAAGGCCACCTCTACTGCACTAAAAGGAGGAATGCCGGCATCGATATGAGAACGGCCAGCCCTGGTGCACGCGCGAAGGGCCGGTGGGCTTGCATGCTGGGCAGCGCTAGGCCTTGGGCCGAGGCCAAAGATCTGTCTGGTAAGGCGCCTTAGCTGGAATTTCCCTCTGCAAGTTCACGCTCAATGCGCCCTTAGCTCGAGGGCCGTCGGAATTCGGAATGCAGAAATTTTACACAGTACCTTCATCAACTTTTTTTTTTTTTTTTTTTCACTTCTTACAGAAAAAAAGGGGAATCCTCCTTGAGTGGCTGCTGCTCCGTGCACTGGTGTTTAGATGCCGCCTCTTCCTGAGTGTCCTGAATGACACTTCTTTCGCACGGCTGTTCTGCTCCGGGAAGGCACCTAGCCCGTCCAGCTCACATGGCCAACAAAAGCGAGAAAAGGCCATGGGTTGTCCCCAATTGAAGGGGAATCGCAGTCAGCTTTGCTTCACCCGCCCAACATCTTCTTCCCCCCAGCCTAGCCTCCCCTCTTTCCGCTCTGTTCTGTTGTGCAGAGCCCAAAAAAACACAGCAAGGCCTGTATTGTGCACCTAATGAATACGACACTCCACACTCTCACTCACCTAAACCGGGCCAGTCTGCTGACTCGGTCCTGTAACTGAATTGTACTCGTGACACTTATTTTTTTGCGGGCGGATAGGTTTAGTGCCTCCAAGGCTCCAAACGCTCCATCTGAATTCCCCAAAAAGAAACTCCAGCCAAAGTCTGATGTCATTGCCCAGAAGGAGCGACTTTACCCCTCCATCCGTCGTCCGTCGTCCCGCCTCTTCCACCACGCCGCCCTGAGTTCGATAGTATTTCCCCCGCACACGAACCATGCTGTCATTCCCTCTGACACCCAAACTCAAAAAGCTAGGCATCTCGTTGCCGTTCCCGTGTCTCTGACACGCTCCATCCTTCGTCATTCATCCCTCATCGTCTTACACACCGCCATCACTGACGAAACTGGCGCTGCTACCTCGGGAAAAAGAGACAAGAGGGGCAGGCAAAAAGGGACAAGAACACTGCCGAGAGAACGAGGTCACCTGCACATGTGGGCGCATGAATCACGATCCATGTGGTAAATACCAGACACACGCTCGCTTTCTCATCCCCATAAAAATTTCTCCTCGAAAGGAGGGGAAGGGTTCAGGGACGGAAGACGGTAAATAAAAATAAAGGAGGCTGTTTTGGGGGACGTCCAATCCCCGGCTGGTTATTTGCACACACACACACACACACACACAGTGTGCGGTTGTAGCCAAGCATACCCCTTCCTTTGGATCTCATGAACTGGCCCAAAGATCTGGCATCCCAAAGCTTGGCAGCGGCGGCTCAGACGACAAAATCAATTTTCCAATGTGCAGATGCCACGCCTCCGAGCTGCATAAAGTGTGCACGTAAGGAAATAGGGCTGCCGTGACTGTGCTTGGAGATCTTAGTCTGTTGTTTATGGTTACTTGCCTTCGCTGGAGGACAATCCTCCCATCGCAGAATTACGCCAGGAACTAATAGACGTGAGCAGAAGACGCTCAAATTCGTCCGAACATTCGCGAAAAAAAGACTTGCAAGTTAATACCTTCGCCAGAATAGATGCAGTGAACCAGAACTTTTTCATATTCCATACTCGAATCTCGAGAAATGGTGACTTGCTATCCAGCAACTAATCCGTCAACCCAAGGTTGTTTCAAAAATTATCCATCCTGTCGAACGCCCATCATCCCGTATCATTAAGTCATACACTTACTCAACCTCCAACACGGCGGGAGCCTTGACCTCCTTGCCGCTGAACTTCTCCAGACCCTCGCCGCCGTAGCTGAAGAGAGGCGAGACCTCAACACCGTCCTCGGTGCTCTCGCCAGTGACGATGCCGCCAGCGGCCTCGATCCAGCGCTTGCCTTGAAGCATGATATCGCGCTTGCTGGTATCGGGGTCGTCCTCGCCGGTGCCGCGGGCGTTCTTGAGGGGCGAGAACTCGTCCTCGCGCTTCACCTCCATGGAAGCGAACTTGCTCAGGTCCAACATGGGGAAGACGTCGAAGACGAACTGCTCCAGCTTGATACCGTTGGGCTTCTCGGGCTTGACAGTCTCGCCAGACTTGAGGTCGGCGTAGGGAATCTTCTTGCGGGCAATGTGGTGAGGCAGCTTGTGGGCCCACTGGGGAATGCTCTCGAGGAAGCGGAACGAGTAGTAGTGGTTGACAATGTTGGCGGCACGGAACTTGAGGACGCCGGGCTGCTTGGAGTCCTGGGCCTCGGCAGTCTCCTTGTCAATTTCGGAGTACTCGACAACGTCGGGCTTGCCGTTCTTGAGCAGAATCAAACCGACCGACTCGGTAGCGTTGCGCTTGCGGACAACCTTGGTAGTGATGTCGACGTCCTTGGAGGCAGAGAAGCCAATGAAGACAGGGTCGGCAACCTTGACGAGGCAGTTGTCGACGCAGTAGGCGTGGATGTGCTCGATGCCCCTCTTGCGCATGTCGCCCATCACGTCCGAGACGACGAGCGCCTGGTAGATACCTCCGTTGCCATCAGGGGCAACTGCGACCTTGCCCTTAGACTCGAGAAGAATCTTGCCATCGTTCGAAATGCAAGGCAGCACGCCCTGCTCGAAGATGAAGACGTTGGACTTGTCCAGGCCGAAGTAGTTGTTCTCCTGGAAGTACTTCTCCGTGGGGCCGCGAGTGGGGCCGGAGGTCATGACGTACCACGGGACGACGGCCTTGCTGGTGCCGGCCTTCTTGGCCGCGAGCTCCTGGACCTTGCGAATACGCTCAGCCTGGATCTGGAAGAGAGACTTCTTGCTGGGAAGACCAATGTCGTAGCAGCCCTTAGGCGCAGAGCTTCCGAGTCTGGTGCCCTGACCGCCTGCCATCAACACAACAGCCACCTTGTTCTGGCCGATCAGGTCGAGACCTGACTGGTACCAGCTCTCAATATCTTCGGGCTTCGAGTCGAGGATACTGGCGGTGGCGGACTCGGGCAGGGGCTCGAGACCGGACTGAGTGGAGGCATCGTCGGTCTTGGGAGGGTTAAGGGCGCGGTCGGTGATCTTGTTGATGTGCTCAGGGTCGAAGCCGGACAGCTGCTGGTAGAGGGCAGCCTTCTCGGAGGAGGGGAGGTCGTCGTAGAAGGTGAAGACCTGGTCCTGGCCAGCCTTGGCGTACTTCTCCTTGAGCTGAGAGAGCTGCTCGGCAGAAGGCTCGGTGGCAGCAGGCTTGTTGGAGCCGATGTTGAGAGCAGACTTGATGGCCTCCATGTTGGGTGGTGGGTGTGGTGTGGGTATCTCGGTGGGGGAAGCTATCAGTCACGTCAGTTGGGGCTGCTGATGATCAGAAAGCAGTCTGTTGTGATGATTACAGAAGAATGAAGGTTGAAGGCTGAAGCAGTAAGGCAGGAGAAGACGAAAGGGCGGAAGAGACCAAGTAAACAAATGAGGTCGACAGGAGGTAGCTTACCTTACTTGTAGTCCCCGCCAAAGACCCCTCCATGGTCCAAATATAGTGCCGTAAAGGGGGGGCAAGCTGGGTGGTCGTTGTCCAGGTCCCCGCTAGTTGTCAGGTCAGATCAATTGGCTCAGTCGCTTTCAGATGGGATGGAGCCCCTCATTCCAGGGCAGCGAGACGCCTTCAGGGCATGATAGGTCGCTTTCAGCTGCGAGCCCCTCACTCCAGTTCGTTTTCAGGGGATGCTCAGGAGCCAGCCACATCAGCACATGGCGAAATGCTCCCGGGAAGGGCGATTCAGGGCCTGCACCCTACGTAGAGGGTAAAGTGGCTGAGGCAACGCATTTGCTGCGTACAGGTCCGGATACGAGGACGAGGAGACTCGAGCTGGAACGCTGCAGCACGGAAGCGCATCCTTAGCTCACGTAAGAAACTTGGTAAGACGTGATGATCATCATCATTCGGCAGCCACATTGGTTGCGGGAGTCGGGGCTGTGCGACTTTGAGTGGCAGAAACTTGGCGGGAGGCGCCGCTAGGTGAAGAGCAAGCTGTCAGAAAGTAAGGTTGGTAGGCGCAGATAGGTAGACAGCTAAAGGCGCCATCGTGCAAGACTGTTGAACAGCAAGTAGCGCCGAAAGCCTGGTTTGGCAAACCGAAGACTTCAACTAACAGGTGGATGTTCTTTAGTTTAACCCACTCGTCGAACACCTATCTTGGATACGCAACTTGCTAGAGGACAAAACTTCATCGGAGGAGATGAAACCGAGTCAAGAGCTCTCAGTCCCAAAGGAAACCAAGACGTGACTTAGCGGTGATTCAGCACAGGCGAAAAGAACCGTGCTTTAAACCTGAGGAG